AAAAAAAGAAGAAAATGAAGTAAAATAGAAAATAAAAAGAACAACCAAAAAAAAAGAAGAAGAAAAAAGAAAAAAAGAGAAAAAAAATAAGCTTGGGGGAAGAGGAGAAAAATACGTGCATTACATAAAGATTTATCTTGGCACAGAGGGAGGATGCGGCACGTGTTATCCGTGACTCCTCGACGAACGTAATTAAAGTCACGTCGTGTTGTGCGCGCGCGCGCACACCCCTCGCGTGGGCACAGATACGGGCATATATAGGCATGGATGGGCGCGCTCATGGTTATAGGGCACGCAAATACGAGTGTTCGGTCGAGTGGAAAAATGAAAATTTAGTTACATCTTCTCTTCTCTTCTCTTCCCTTCCCTTCCCTTCTCTTCACCCCTTTTAGTGATATCAACGAATATTTCCAGTTACCCGCGACAGCATATTTTTGTTAATATCGTTTTCTTCCTTTTTATTTTATTTTTTTGTACTTTATTTTATTTTAATTTCTTTTTATTCATTTCTCTATCCATCTTTCTTTCTTTCTTTCTTTCTTTCTTTCTTTCTTTCTTTCTTTCTTTCTTTCTCTGTCAGTCTCGTTTCCATAATTCGTCTAGAATTATCACGAGTAATTATTATCATCGTGTCGTGGTTTTTGGAATTTTATATTGTTTCGAATTTGCCTTGATTACAAACCCATGTAAATGGCACACTTGATATTATAATATAATAATAAGATTTAAATGATTTAAATTAATCGTAAGGATGATCGTTTTGAAGACGTACAGATAATATATATATATATTAAAAAGCAATTACTTAATTATTATTAAAATTATTATTATTATTTAAAATGAATCATTTAACGCGTTAAATAATTTTTCACAAAATTTCTTCGAAACGATACATTTAAGATACTAAAAAGATGAAATAATCTAAACAGATACTTATTTATGATAAAATGATTGATAAAAAGTATCTTTCGATCCGTTTAAACAGAAGGTGAGGTGGCCTAGCAAAAGAGGAATTGGTTCGGGTGGATGGAAGATAATTAATGCGTATGTTAATTAGCCGAGGAGTGGGAATTAAACCGCGAACGCGCACTGTAGACAGAAACGTAGCTCTTTCGCGAACGGAGGTAAACGAGCGCTGGATTAAGCTGACTTGGAACTACTTAGGAATATCCATTATTCAAGGTACATCTTGTTTAAAGCAACAGGTTCAAGATAGAAAGAGAGAAAGGGAGAGAGAAAGAGAAAGGGAGAAAGAGAAAGAGAAAGGGAGAGAGAGAGAGAGAGAGAGAGAGAGAGAGAGAGAGAGAGAGAGAAGNAGAGAGAGAGAGAGAGAGAGAGAGAGAGAGAGAGAGAGAGAGAGAGAGAGAGAGAGAGAGAGAGAGAGAGAGAGAGAGAGAGAGAGAGTCAAGGTATTCCGCGTAAAGGGGTTGATGCTACAGCTTGAAGCATTAAAGAAAGGATTAAATAAAGGTACTAGCTTGTATTAACAACTACAATAATTACTATTGCGGAATTAAACGGAAAAGAAAGAAAAAAAAAGAAATAAAATAAAAAATATCTGAAATTAATGGAAGATAATACTCAATTTTTGTTCAATCTTCAATAATCCTTGTGTTCATCGTTTTACGTGTTTAATTTTTCTTTCTATTCTTTTTCTTTTTGATTTTGTTTTATTTTTCTTGCTCGATCACGCACACATACAGATTTGTTTAATAATTATTAATTACTACGAACGATTGAAAATAATATTTTCTAAAAATGCATCTCTCTTAAGGAGTGTTACAACGATTGTATTATTGTCGTGATTAATAATAATAGTAATAATAATAATAATAATAATAATGAATGAATGATAATATATAATAATAATAATAGTAATAATGATATTAATAATTATAATAATACCGCGATAATAGTAATAATGTGATGGTAATAATTATGATTCGCATAGAAAAAGTATGTATGTTTAGAAGCAAACGTGTTGCATGAGTGCGTGCGTGCCTGCGTGTTTGAGTATACGAGAGAAAGAGAAAGAGAAAGAGAAAGAAAAAACAAAAGTGAAGAAAAAAACTTAAAATGGACAAAAAAGAAAAAAAATAGAACACATCATTCAGTCTCACGTTCGTATTTTATTATGATAATATACTTTCTACAATTAACGTCAAGGCTAATCATAATTTGTACTAGATAAGAGTGACGTGGATGATATGCCGCCGAGTTGAAATATAAAATCATAAATTAAATAACAAACAAACCAACAAAAATACGAATAAAAAATTGAAAGAAATATTAAACCAAGAAAAAGAACTCGCACGTAAAAAAATAAAACATAAGTACACATATATCGAACTTGAGCATGAGTGAGTAAAAACTAAAAAAAAGGGGAAAAAAAAGATAAAAAAAACCTGAATAAATAAAACAAATAAACAAAAAGGAAACGAAGAATGAGGAAAAGATTTATCTTCGTCACCTGCGGATCCTGTATAATATAGTTAATAAATAGTTAAGTAATATATAGTTTAATAAACGAAACTAAAAGCGTGAAATAATAGAGAAAGAAAGAAAGAAAGAACATACGAACGAATGAACGTGTGAAAGAGAGAGAGAGAGAGAGAAAAATAGAGTTAAGTTTTCCGATTTAGAATTAAAAGAACAACACGTCGTCCATCCCC